TGAAAACAACAATTACTTGATCTCTCACATATGTGAAGTATAGGCCTTGACAGACTAAACAACTATTATTTGATCTGTGAAATATGGGGGTAAAGGCCTTGTCAGTGGAAACAACTATTATTTGACCTGTCACATATGTGAAGTAAAGGCCTTGACAGACTAAACAACTATTATTTGATCTGTGAAATATTTGAACTAAAGGCCTTGTCAGTGAAAACAACTATTACTTGATCTCTCACATATGTGAAGTAAAGGCCTTGGCAGACTAAACAACTATTATTTGATCTGTCACATATGTGAACTAAAGGCCTTGTCAGTGAAATCAACTATTACTTGATCTCTCACATATGTGAAGTAAAGGTCTTGTCAGTGGAAATAACTATTACTTGATCTCTCACATATGTGAACTAAAGGCCCTGTCAGTGAAAACAACTATTACTTGATCTCTCACATATGTGAAGTAAAGGTCTTGTCAGTGGAAATAACTATTATTTCATCTGGCAAATATGTGAAGATCAGTGGTAACTTTTACTTGATCTCTCACATATGTGAAGTAAAGGCCTTGTCAGTGGAAACAACTATTATTTGATCTCTCACATATGTGAAGTAAAGGCCTTGACAGACTAAACAACAATTATTTGGTCTGTGAAATATTTGGGTAAAGGCCTTGTCAGCGGAAACAACTATTATTTGACCTGTCACATATGTGAAGTAAAGGCCTTGACAGACTAAACAACTATTATTTGATCTGTGAAATTTGGGGGTAAAGGCCTTGTCAGTGGAAACAACCATTATTTGATCTGTCACATATGTGAAGTAAAGGCCTTGTCAGTGGAAACAACTGTTATTTGATCTGTCACATATATGAAGTAAAGGCCTTGTCAGTGGAAACAACCATTATTTGATCTGTCACATATATGAAGTAAAGGCCTTGTCAGTGGAAACAACCATTATTTGATCTGTCACATATATGAAGTAAAGGCCTTGTCAGTGGAAACAACTATTATTTGATCTGTCACATATGTGAAGTAAAGGCCTTGTCAGACTAAACAACTGTTATTTGATCTGTGAAATATGTGAAGTAAAGGCCTTGTCAGTGGAAACAACCATTATTTGATCTGTCACATATATGAAGTAAAGGCCTTGTCAGTGGAAACAACTGTTATTTGATCTGTCACATATATGAAGTAAAGGCCTTGTCAGACTAAACAACTATTATTTGATCTGTGAATATGTGAAGTAAAGGCCTTGTCAGTGGAAACAACTATAAAGTTTCATATGGAGCAGCGAGACAAACACAGTAAGCAAGTGGAGGTGAGGTGAAATGGGGTATAACGTCGCACTTAAGAATATTTCGTCAAAGTGCTGTGACTATGTGTCCCAGTCCACCCAGCTGTGCGTTAGGATGCCACAATAATGTGTGCCTAGTGGCAGCTAAAGAGTTGTATACTCCCCAGGGACTAATACGATGTGCAGTTGATATTGACATCCAATGATCGAGGGAAAAAATACCAGCGCCTTGAGCATGAGCTAGTGCGTGGATATATCCGCTATAGAAATATCCTATAATAATAAATAATATGACGACATGCATGCGTGTGTATGTGTATGTGTGCCTGATTGTACTAGCCCAGACTGAAGCTGGTTTTATAGTGCTATCCCACTGAGATACCATGCCGCATTTAAGCATGAATACCCCACTAAGACACAGTGTACTGACTCCGAGCCGACCAGTTCTTGTTGTACCCATTAATGCCGAGTGCCAGGCGGGGACCAACAAGTACCATATTTTTAACGTCTTTTGGTATGACGCGGTCGGGGATCGAACCCGCGACCTTCCGCTCTCCGGGCGGACGTAAGCATGTGGAACACGACCCATATTATAAACACCTTAATTCTAATCATGTTGGATTAGTCTACCTGTGAAGCCAAGAACGCGGTCCAACAAATGGTACAGTAACTGATATGTTGAGTAAATATGAGAATAAAGGATTTTCAGTTTCTGTGGTGACGGACCGAAGGACTACTCGTTTAACACTAGCTCAGACTGACAATGTCAGGGTGAGGTAATCACCCTGAGTATTGGTTGTACGTAGGTTTTTCAATATGGCTAAAGAGGAATATGGCTGTAATCAAAACACGAACGTAAAAAGTAAAACTTCACTATATTGCACAAGAAAAGACATGTCGAGTCTCACTACACGCATGAATGATTCCATTTATGGTTTTAACAAATGTTCCTGTATAATGTATTTATTATTAACCTTTTCGTTATGGCTGCTGATTTGACCCGCTTGAGCAGATTCTTGGCAGTAATTAACAAGTATTTCGAGTTTCAGCTTCACTGATCCAGTGATTATATATTTACACTACTTTACAGTGTTCATAGGTTGGAGATTCAGCTGATTACACATCATTCGGTGCAAGTACAACTGATTATAGATTTCCAAAATTAAATACTTGCCGAACTGTTTAAGAGGAACATGCTCTAAAACGATATGTCCAGCATGATATTAAACAATGAAAATGTAAGACAAACATCCCCGATGCAGAGCTGAACATACCAACAAACCACAGAAATTGCACGAAGTTTATCATGCTTTTGTAACAGGTTGGTGAAGTGGACAACGTTTGTGACTTACAGAACGATGCCCTTCGGCTCAGTAATTCCGAGATCATGGACACAAAACAGACATATTTCGGCACTGGTCTCCAATCTGTACTGCGTTAATTCGACATATAAGTACAAAAGAAAGTAAGGGATCATAGCTATTTGTGCCTGTATGTTTTTGTGGTGAAGGCTGAGCATACAGTTTCATAAAAGATATGTCCAAAACAATCGAAAAAATTATCTGTCTCTGTTGAATAATAATCGTGCATGGCGACCTCGATTTTATTTGCTACACAGTTGTATGTCGTAACGAGACAACCGGGTTACACATTACACTGACTGACTGAGTTTTGGTTTTACGCCGCTTTTAGCAATATTCCAGCAACATCACGGCGGGGGACACCAGAAATGGGCTTCACACATTGTACCCATGTGGGGATTCGAACCCGGGTCTTCGGCGTGACGAGCCAACGCTTTAACCACTAGGCTACCCCGCCGCCCCGGTTACACATTACAACTGGCCGCGGTTAAGTGAGTTTAGTTTTACGCCGCTTGAAGCAATATTCCAGCAATATCATGGCGGGGGACACTTCACACATAGCATCCTTGTGGGAATCGAACCCTGACGAGCGAACGCTTGAACCATTAGGCTACCCCACTGGACTTGTGAAGAATATGGCCAGAAGACAAGGGGGTGTATTTTGCAGAATGTTCCCAATAACTGGGAAAGTATGACCTGCTGTATTCATGGTGAAGTTTAGGAATTTACTGCTGGTGCTGTTAAAGGTAGGAAAGGAGTTATGGGGTCAGCTGAGATCGTCTGGAACCCACAGCTCGTGTATTCCTCCACATGTATAGTTATCCCAAATAGCTGCTGATAGCAGAGGTATGGGAAACGATGTTATACAAAATGAAATTGCTTGCAAATAACGACCATTAGTCAGTGCAGAGATATCGAAACGTCTTTAACTCAGTTAAATGGATGAATCGACTGAACCTAATATCCCACAGAACTCTCTGTACACACCATTATCATATCGGTTACGGACCGGATTCATTATCTCAGGGAAACAGCCACCATGTTTTCACGATCGAAAATTTAAAAATGTAGTGATATTCTGTCGCCATAGATGGATCGACAGATGATTATAGACTGTGTGTGCAGTGAACTTTCTGTGGTGTGGTCTCTCAGGGAGGCTATCCCACTTGGCCGCCAATACATGGCTGAAATGTCGGTCTATCTAGAGTATATAGTTTCTCTGTACATAGCAAACCGTAACGGCCACTTGCAAACGTCTTATCGCTGTAGCGTATTGCGGGGTGTGAGTTTAGACAATTACAGTTGTTTGTGTATGAATATGAAGACAATGAAGCCTAGTAAATCCTTTTTTCGTAATGTTCGTGTTCGAGGGGCATTGACTGACACATTGAGAAACGTTATGAGTATTGAAAAAATATGAACTCAGGCTCTCTTCTCTGATTTGATTTCCCTTAGCTAAAACATCCGATGAAAATATAGTTGTCGAATGTTTCTTACATACTAGTATATGATGTGAAGAAATCCAAATGTGCCATACGAGGCACAAACAGGAGACAACGGAATATTTAACCTTTGTGTGATTGAAGGCTGAATGGGGAAAACGAGAAGGCAAAACAAATTGAAGTATAAAAATAAAATATGTAATCATTGCATGGTTGGCGAATATTTTCTTTACCATCTCCCTGACAACGGTGACAACAAAACCCAGGCGTCAGGCGTCAGAGTACTTGGCGGAGAGGGATGTTCTGAAAACTGAAGATTCTCTGCTTTGGCTACCAGTAGAAATACAGCCGCAGGTCGATATATATCTGTATCGAAATATATAAATATTTCTGTTTTAGGATGTTAGTGTGTATCAACCTGTGCATGTTGTTCTTCAACGTAATTGTAATATTGTAATATGAGCTAGACCATGAACAATGAACAATGAAATGTTATATTTTATTACACTGGTTTTATAGCTCGTGTGGTTTTGCTTTTAATAAAGTGAAAATCTATGAGATGTAGTGGGATTAAGATGAGAAATACCAAATAACAGATTTTTCCATGTTTCTATACTGATAATAGTAAACTCAACTTCTCCTTAAATATAAGTCATCAATGAGTCGGAATATCAAGCATGTGTTTCTATGTTACAAATGATAGGGCGGTTCTGTTCATGCACACAATGCAACCTTCTTCCCATACTTTTTCTACTCACCTTCAGAAAGTCTTTTCTGACGTTGGGCACAATGTAACCCTAAATATTTACTGACATTTGGCTTACTGAGAACTTGCCAACACTTGCTGGAATTGTCTCTAATCACATTGTTTGCAGGTGCTAAGAAAAGAAAACTGACGCATGAAATATATGTTTAAAAGTTTAATATGTAATAAAAAAGCCCCTACAGAACATATTCACATGACCACACACAAATATATAAGTCATCTTGACCTGAACATATGCAATTGACTGTTACATACACAAGCCAACAACACATGAATGTACATGTATATGGTTGACTGTTACATACACAAGCCAGCAGGACCTGAAGGTACATGGTTGACTGTTACATACACAAGCCAGCAGGACCTGAAGGTACATGGCTGACTGTTACATAAACAAGCCAGCAGGACCTGAAGGTACATGGCTGACTGTTACATAAACAAGCCAGCAGGACCTGAAGGTACATGGTTGACTGTTACATAAACAAGCCAGCAGGACCTGAAGGTACATGGTTGACTGTTACATAAACAAGCCAGCAGGACCTGAAGGTACATGGCTGACTGTTACATAAACAACTTATCAAGACCTGAAGGTACAGATGACTTACATAAGCCAGCCATCTTGACCTGATAGTACATTTGACCCAGGAAGCAGTCTTCTTGACCTGAAGGTAGCGAGTTGACTGAACAAGCTAAACAAAGAGCTTATTACACCAGTCTGTGACAACAGCAGCTGCAGCATCCAACATGGCAGCGCCTAACATGGCAGCATCTGGCAGCGCCTAACATGTCAGAGGAACTCAAAAGTGAGCAATTCTTTTATAGTTTTCTTATTGTATTACAGATTCATTTGTATTGACCAACATGCCAAAGCTGAAACATGAAGAAACATAACAAAAATGTAATTGGGATAATAGGAGGCCTTTCATTTAATATATTATTTTTGATGACAGCAGATTTCAGAACATCACTTCAACAATTTTACATTTTTGGTTGGATCACAAGCTAGTTGTTTCAAAGAAGATTTTGAAATGTGAATGTAGTGTGTTGCTATGTGGATGCTCTTGACACAACACTCTTGTTTGTAGTTTTGGTAACTTAGCTTTTTCATTAAAAAAAAAAAAGAAAAACATACTGGTTTTGCCTGATACTTCATAAAAGTAGTCAACTGTTGTTTCAATTACTTACAAAATGGATACCTTTTTATCAACAGGCTTACTTTAAAAATATTAAACAGAATAAAAATATAGAGTCATAAAACACAATATAATTATGTTCTGCAGTAACTGAGAAAAGTATACCTCAAAACATCCAAACATGAAAAAGCAATATTTCCAGATTTCTTGACAGCCTCCATTCAACACAGATCAATAAGCAATATTTCATCTTATAAACACTTCAGACATGGTAAACATTTCAAACACAGGACAATCTAGTGAATCCAGCATGTGTTATTTCTCCACAGTTACCATGTTTACAGTGGGCAGGAAGATGAACATGAAGGTGGTGTCAAGCAAGGCAAGCTTTTACTTTCATTTGTATTATGCATTTCCCCACAAATAGTTTATGTCTTATTTCCACAGTTATAATCAACAATGCATTTTCAACAACCAACTTCTGCAAACAAATAAAGCTTTGTTGTAACGTTGTTTGAATAATACTTTATTAGTTACGCAAATAACAAGGAAGACATGAACCTAATAAATAATCTATTATTCACAGATTCTTCAAATTCCAGAATGAATAGAAAACATTACATACCATAACATCATGACTGTAAAATTTATTTAATGCATGTAAAATGTAACATTTGCTTACATTCATAAGCAACTGATTAATGCTTGGTTGGTCAATTATCAAGCATATTCTGAAATATGATATTTAAGTTTACAAATAATCGTGCATTCTGGAGAACCGAGGTTTGTCTTTGAATGACACACAGGCTTTATCTGATCCCTTGTATGATGTGTAAGACAAGCCCAGTGATTAGCGCATACAAAACATTTCAATCTCTTAATACTGAACATATATAATTTCCACAATATGAAGCACACCAACACCTAATACCGTACTCATCCAAATTAGTGCCACATTCTTTATAAACGCTTTAGATATAGCTGTTCACTCCACTCAAACAGCACTCATAGTTGTCACACATCTTATCATCAAGGTGTTCTTCCTACTTGAAATGTAATGACAAATGCTATTTTGTTACCATTTTATGATGATCCTGTTTAGGTGGTCTTGAGGGTTGAATACGGTACTTTTTACTAAAGTACTCCTGTTTTTACATTACTACAGATAAATATCAATACAGAGCCATATTATTTTATCAATTAAATGATAAATGACACAAATTACACACTAGTACATTATCAAACTGCCTTTTACACAAATCTTCAGCAAATCTTAGTAAAGGATCAAAGAGAATCTTGTTTTCAAAGGGAGACAATTCCAAGTTAGTCAACTGCAGAGTTCGAGAACTACAAACACCTTTCATCAAACTGAAACATACCATTAAACAAACTGGACAGAATTTCCAACATTACAGTTAAATTTACCAAAATTGATTTCTCAGTAGTTTGGCTGCAATTCTGTATTATACACATGAACTTACTAAAACAGAGCTCTCAATTTCTATAGCGCTTTGTGCTCCATTACAGATATAAGTACAGTCTACTACTGAAAGATGGTGGTTTGTGCATAGATGGTCCATTAAACTCTGATGCTTCATACAAACTGAGAAATATCTCCACATGTTAATCTGCTGACTTGGCAAGTCATTACTCACTAATATTCAGCACACAACTGAATGTATGCTTCTCAGGATATATTTGATGACATATTTCACATTCAAATAGTTTGAAGTTAAATTAGATAAAGATATATCTAATTTTTGGTAGATATGGAAATAAAAAATAATTAATTATTTAGGTACTACTCTACTTTCAAAACCTAAAACTGGTTTATTTCATAAAGAGCACTGAAAAGCTTTGATATGTTACCATGGCGGCGTTGCCTTGGTTACATGAAATAAGGGAATGGGCAGCAATGATGATGACTGAGATAAAGACAATGATCAAAAGCCATGTACTTCACTCCATGTAACAGATATGAACCATGACAAAATAATATACAAAACATACAAAAAATAAAATAGAATACAAAATGTACCCAAGCATACAAGCTACATGATTTAGGTAGCAATAAATAAGACAAAACGTCTGCACAACTTCAAGACCAGGTGCAGAGCATGAATGAGAATAGCCTCAAACATGGAAAGGGTTTTTTTCTTGGTTAAAAGTCATTTCACTAGAGCATTTGTTCTACCATATATTGTAAATCTAGAAATTAATCACTAATCATGAATGAAGCAAAAAGCCTCAAGCAATTAGATATCACACTAGTGTTTTCAATTATTGTGAAGGCTAAAATCTGATTTGTAATTTGAAGATAATTTGTTTAACCATACGTTGAGAAAAGATCTACATGTAGTGGTGAATAAATACTGTTTCATCGCATGGCAGACCTAGGCATTTTGGCAGACCTCCACCCAGGGACAGGCCAGCCCTCAACTCACTGCCCCACCCCTAGTGTTCACTGTTTCACACCTAGAAGCCTTCTCCAGAGTTCACTTTTCCACACCTAAAACTTACTGCCCCATATCTAGAGCTCACTGCCCCACCCAAAGGACTCACCCTTAGAACTCGCTGCCCTTACCCTTTAACTTACTGCTCCACCCTTAGGACTCACTCTCCAGGCCTAATGGCAGGCTCACCCTCAGTGGCTAAGGATGAAAACTTGTTCAGTCGAGCTGGATGAATAAGTTCTAAGAGGTTTCAAACCGCTCACAGAATTTTTTTTCTCTAAATTTGTAATGCCATAGCTTTAAATAGAAAATTATAAATTTAGAACATTTATGCATGAACATATTTGACAAATTCTGTGTTTCATTAGTATTCAATAAATCACTAAATTCAAGTAAATATTGATCTCAACATATACACACCTTTACTGCAGGCCAAGAAGATATTTTCCTCAATAAATGATTCAGGCAAGGAAGTAAGTCAAAGCCGAGGCTTTCGAAGATTAGGAAAATCTTAAAACGGAAGTGATACAAGATTTAACAGATATTCGAGCAGCACTTTGACCAAACAGGTGATACAATATTAGGTAACTGTTGATGGTACGACATATGAACACCTCCCACCCACTGCACGCCCACCCTGGGCCACCTGTAATTTGGCATCGGAGGAGGAGTCTGGCCGTCCCTGTAAGCTTCAATGGTCTGCCTGGTCAACACTCTAAGCTGCACAGTCACACATAACACTCATCACACGCTTGTAAAAAAGCTCATCAACTGGTGTAAATGACTATAATGTTCCACTGGAAGGACCAATCACATGGAAGTATATTCAACTCCTTCCTACACTATTGGCAAGATGTCCTTATCCATGAGTATTTGTAGATTCATGAATGAGCAGAAGAGGTTGGAGAAATTATTTCCTCAAATCCTTCATGCTGTGACAAATCTATTATTGTCCTGGATGTTTTTGGTCAGTAAGTTATGAGCGTCCTCAAAACAAAAATACATCAAATTATTGTTCGTTTGCATTGGTGCAAACTTGGCACAGTTCAGAATTAAACCAAATATAACCTGCACCAAGACAGCAAAGTTATAGAGGACAGCTCAGCTTTGACTGTGCTCTGACCACAGAATCTTTACCAAAATATTAACATGAGGCAGCAGCTATGGAAAAAAGTAATTAATTTGCTGTAGAATATTTTTGCTCAAGCAGCTGTGTACTGAAGCTATGTTTTGTTTGGAGTCATCTGATCCAACAAAATCAACTTCTTTTCTTTTAAACAACACTCATGTTGTAAGGAAACAACCATGTCACAACTCCAAATTAACTTTTTCTGAATTAGCTTCGAATCAAACTGGTTGTTCAACAAATCCGCTTTTTGACTCAGTATTTGTTTACATTCAAAACATACAAAAAGCACTATGTCTAACACAACTGAACAAAGACAACTTTTAGTAATGATCACATTCTTGATGAAATTAAAAGCATACATTAAAACATTGTAGGGCTTGTGTTTTCACTGAAAATCAAAATCACAAATAAAACAAAAGCTTTGTTAGAAATACTTAAAATCACATCAAGTCCATTGTAAAAAAACTTTAGAAATCTTTAGAGATCTTTTTGTTCACAGTACTGGTGCATTATAAAACTTTGAGAAAAATGTAATATATTTCAGAAGAGTTAGTATGGAAGACGGCTGTTTAATGGTTTCTGTCATGTTCAGGGTACATAGGCAAGGGGAAGTAAAGTTCAAATATCTTCATCAGTGCCTTCTGTGAACAATCATTCAGATGTCAAATGCTTGCCAAATACTCTTTTTGAAAGTTCAAGTGGTATCAGTCATTAATTGGTTGCAAATATAATAAAATATATTGTACTAGATGTAAAACTCTTGAACTTCTAAAAATGGAATAAAATGTCACTATGGATTGCTCTATCAACATGAGTTATCTCCCTTTAACTGTAAATTCCAAGAGAAGGACACAAGGTCATAAAATCTAAAATGGCAAGTAATGTAAGTGTATGTGCCAAATAGACTCAAACCATGAAAGTGTGAGTTTTCTTAACCAAAGCCTCCCACCCAACCCCTCCTCCTTAGAATTCATTTAACTTTCTTACACTGAAGGATTAAAATAAACTTGTTTTTAACCGCAGGAGACATGATGGTCGATAGATTGAATCAATAAAAGATATAAAATTGATTGTAAAACAGACTGCACTTAATTTGTAACAATGATATGAAAATTATCCATCCATGAGTGGAATATCAGCCTGCTCTACAGGTGATACTTAAGAACTAAACAGCCCTGTGTTCACACCAAGGCCGTGCTTGGAGGTCATGCAATGCTGAGATGTATCTTCGATGTAAAGTCCTCTCTTGTTTTTGTTGAAAGCAACATATAAATATTTGTCAAGGATGTTGAGACAACATCTGATATGGCCAGGAGAGTCATGAGTGTTTGGAAGGATAATCTGTCCATTTAGTAGATGAATGTCCTCCACTGCTGTTTTGGAGCTTGTGGTTCCGAGTCTTACATCACAGATCAGCACTTTGGTTACATGAGATTCTGACAGAGAAGTATCTGTTTTCAAGCGACAGGATTATCAGCCTAGATATTTAACATGGTTCATTTGTGAACAGAAATATTCCTAGGCAAAGCCAAATCAGTCCAGTATTTGGAGAACGGGAGGCTTCTTTAACATAGTTGTAAGACATAACTCAAACTCATTTGCCAAACCTATCACCATGCACTGAAAACTTGAGTTGAGTATTCCTTGGTGGTGGTTGGAAATGATTGAAAAGTTACACATTGGATACCTTTGGTTATTTCATTTGCCAGCTAATTCTTGCACAATGGAACATGGTTTTTGGAATGGAAATTGGTAAAATTCAAACACATAAAATGTACAATTAAAATTGTGTGCTAAAGCATTGAGCATTCACTGGACAATCATCATTCCACTTTCACACCAGAGTGCAGTCCTGATGCATTATGCAGCAAGGAGGAAATTACCTCCCTTTGATTGTAATGAGAAAATCCTAAAGATGGTCAGAATCAGACAATAGTTTGAAGTCGAATGTCTTTCTTAACTATCTGAAACTCAGGCTGTTTGTGGGGTAGCCAGGCCATGATGGCTACTACATTTTCTAGAACACTGGAGATGATAGCACAAAACAAAGAGGCTATCACCAGTAACACACACTGTAAAGCTCCCGTCCTTCGAATACTGAAGGATTTCATTGTGCCGAACATGAACAGAAACAGAATAGTTCCTAGAAATGAGCACAGGATGAGGTGAATGCCATTCCAGGCTGGCAGGGGCCAGATGTAGCCGAAAATGAAGCCCATAGTTGTGAAGGGGAGAGATAGTCCCGATGCACTCATAAGTATCACGCCAATCTTGTACTTGAAGGGAATCTTTCGACTGCTGGCCGTGAGGTAGATCCCCTGAATCCAGCGGCGTTGACGGATGTAGTCCATCAGTGTGAAGGTGCTTCGCTCCCACATTTCTCCCTCCACAAAGCCGAAACTGTAGCCCTCTTTGAAGGCCATCATGGCAAAGAAGCAGTCCTCTGCGATCGAAGATTCGGGTCCATGATCAAACGTTATGTGTTTCTCGGCTGCGGCATTTGCAATGATGAATGACCCCTTCCAGCTGAAGAAAGGTTTGTTGAGAGTACGCAGAGAGAAGCGTAGTGCTCCATAATCAACTCCTACACGAACACTGTCAGCTAGCGTGGTCACCCAGTTTACAATCTTATCCTTACTGTACGTGATCACACCTTGTCCGAATGAATGCTTGCCTTCTGATACAAAGTTGATGGTGCCAATGACGGAGCTTTCTGTGAGGATTGTCTCCTCATCAAGATGCACAATCCAGTCATCATCACTGAGGATGTCCACACCAGGTTCTAGGCTGTACTGGAGGGCTCGAGCTTTAAACAGTGTTCCGTTCCTTGTTGTATAGTTGTGAGGAACAACCAGTTCTCTTGTGCGGGGAATTTTGGGTAGGTTTACAGGAATATCAGTCACTACTTCAAACATAAAGTTCTGCAGCCCGACACTTGTACAGATTTGGAGGTTGCGTTCAACGTTTTCCCGCACAAGCTCTGGAAATAATCCACGTGTCACAACACGGAAACAGAAAAACGGTCCTAGAAGTGGAGATCTTTGGAGTTGTGGTTTTTCTGGAAATGTGTGAAAGCATATTATCCCAAGGAAATTGAAGCCAGCAAATACCAATGGGAAGTACAGGAATAACCTCGGAGCAAACAGGATCCACGTTAGAAAGTAGCCATATTTTTCAAACGGGTCAAATCCGCTGTCTTCATTTCCACTGAGAATTGCGTAATAACCATAGATGACAAGCAGCAGAAGGCACACACAGCCACCATGTTGAAGATTCCGTATGATGCTCATGATGTCGGTGATATGTTGATTTAATCCACTGTCCTCGTTTTCAGGATTTTTGATGAAATATCTCTCTGTGGTCACCCTCTAAAACATGATGCCAATCTGCAAAAACAAAAATATCACAATATAATTTTCATATTTTGCTACAATATCAGCATAAAATTATCAATCACAACAATGCAATGATGTGTAACTAATATAATTAGATAAATCTTTTCATCCATTTCTGATGGTATTTACTCGAAACCAGCAATTCTAACAAGAAAATCCTACTCATCCATTTATGAAAGTATTTACTCAAAATCTGCATCTCAGAATTAGACAGTACAATAATATTATCCCAGTGGAAACCTGCTCCAAGTCATTAATTCAACTCATGTATTTTCTAACATCCTTGCCACAAAATAGCATTATAGAATCCTGTCTAATACAGAGTTTGTTCAAGCCCTTGTTTAAATCACTGAGGACTTGCAACAATGAAAGGATGTAGGATAACATGTATTACGTCCCAAAATGACTGTTTTAATAACCTCTTTCAACCTGTAACATCAACAATATAGTCTGAAATTGCCAATAAAACCCTGTGTAAAACATGCTGCAAGGCACGGATCATGCACTTTCTGTCATTGTGTCAATAAGGGTACAATCTAAACTTCTTACAGCCATTCTTCCTCCCTCAATCAATACCTCAATGGCTTCCCTCCCCAGCTCTGTGCACTGACATCAGCCACTAAAGATTTACCACTAAGCTTCTCAAGGAACAGATTAGGTCTTCCTAGAAACTTATTAGAAGTGGTCTGTCAGGCTGATTATCAAGTACTTTTACCAGCTTTAAAACCTGTACATTGTAATAGGTCTTCAGTGTTTGGAAAATGATTTTGAAGACAGCAAGGATTGATTCAATTGACTCTAAACTCATGGGCAAGCCCCTGGATCAGGGCTTGTATTCGTGGCAGCTTCACATGTTTGAAACCTGAACATGAAGTAGGGATGTTGGCAGTATCAATGGTGGAAATTACAGCGTTGTTGATTACCTCCCTTTATGATGTGCCCAGAAGCAAATTGATGGGGCTTTACACCTGTTATATTATATGGAGTGAGTGAATGAGTGAGTGAGTGAGTGAGCGAGTGAGCATTTTATAGTGAGTGAGTGAGTGAGTGAGTTTACGCCGCACTCAGCAATATTCCAGCATTATGGCGGCGGTCGCATTTTATAGTGGTTCATGAACAAGTAGAATTGCAGCTGTATCACACCAACCTGTTTTTTAATGGTTGTTCAAATGAAATGGGTCCTTGTCATAACCGTTATGTTAAGCATTTCATACCACCAACTGCCAAGGACAACAGTGTCCTTAATCAGCATAGCAGATAAAACTCAAGCATTGATTATAATCTGCACATCATGAGCAATGACACCTGCTTTTGGGCAGAACACTGAATAAGTCAGACTTTACCATTATGGTCGTCCAATACATACTGAGTCCGCCTGGAGAGCAGAGGGTCTCGGGTTCGATACCCGACCGCATCATACCAAAAGACGTTAAAATATGGTTCTTGTTGGTCCCTGCCTGGTGCTCAGCATTAATGGGTACATCAAGGACTGGTCGGCTCGGAGTCAATGCGGCCTGGTATCTCAGTGGGCTAGCACTATAAAACCAGCTTCAGTCTGGGCTAGTACAAGCAGCCGGACAGACACATGCACACGCATGCACATCGTCATGTGAGCGAAATATCCTCAAGCACGACGTTAAACCCAATTTCACCTCACCTCACCTCCAATACATACTGGGGTATCTGTTCTTGCTTCACCACCCAACATGGTCAACAAGCAAACGATACAGACGTTCTGTTCTTTCATGACTTAAAATATACTTGTTCTCAAGTGGGAAAGTATTCAAGTTTAAGATAGGAAAGCCTTCAGAATGATCAGCTTCCAGGATAAGCTCTTTCCACTGGCATTGATATATTTCATAAAATAGTTTCAAGTCCTCTTCAGATGATAATGAAGCTAAACCTGAAATCTGCCACTGTTACAAGCAGTTCCAGATGATCGAGTACTTCAGCAAACTGTCAAAATGGCAGCCACAAAAGTTGGAACATACTGACCATATCAGTATTTCATTGGCACGTTATGAACCTCCTTAGGGATCACTCATCAAGAAACTCCATCAAATTCGCTCTTTCCAATAGTCAAGCTCCAAGTTGATTTTGACAACAGTCCAACAGAATAAAGTGCACCAAATAATGAAATGGCAAGAGAGGCATCCTCTTTGATGCTTGTTCTTTGAATAATTTATATCCTAAGGCAAAAAAATCCAATAGAAACTTTTTTCCCATTTCCTGGAAACTTCATAATCTAGTTATCTGCCGGAACCTATCATATTGTTATAGTGGATATAGCCAGACGCTGCATATGGCTATCAGCCATGGCCAACTGTCGAACATTAACACGCACATTACTCATGTGTTGATGGTAGGCAAACTGTTATGCGATGATCAAAGTTTTATATTTTGCATGTCTGGGTCATATGGGTTCATTGATTGAGTAAGACTGGTGTCGGTACAGCAGGTATCGGGAAACAACTCACATAAAACATCACCCTGGATTAGAATGCATGACAGTTCTGTATAGAACCAGGAAGCTTTCAATATAATCTTTAACAGGCCATCTGTCACTGACAAAAGCTGGCACAAGCTAAAAATGTGATTTTTTTGCTGTTACTTTGTATTTTTTCTTGTTTTGGTAAACATGCTAAAAGTTTCAGCAGCAATTTTTTTCTTTAAAGTCTAACTGTAGTGTTCATCTCAACAGTCTTTTCAAAATGGTACACTCATTTGCTCAGATTTTCAGATTCTTTCTATGTAGATTATATACAGAAGCTGAATAAACAGAAAAAATATTTCATAGACCCTGGCTTCAGTGTTCCATCAAGTGTCTAAAGAGAAGGATTTAAGACATGTTGTTTGTATTCAACATCATCCAAACAAACAGTTATTTAACTTTTCCGATGATTATCAATAGTCTCCATGACTTATTCACTATCACTAATTGCTTCCATGGCTTTCTGGTCTACAAATACACCTGGATGATTAGAAGCAGCTAAACCCGTCTGACCCCAACCTGGCTGCACATCGAACCTTGCTGACCTCCTCATCAGAACATCTCCGCTGACAGAAGATGTATGATAAACATACTCAAACACAGATACACAAACACAGGCAAAATCCTTTATGCATAATACACACCAATCTGAAGTAATAATGGTGATGTTATTGACAATGTTGTCATTGATTTCTGGCAATAAAACTGGTTTTCATGTTAATTCGTGACACTGTGATTTATGCAGTTATAGTCATAAAATTGCTTCAAACATGTCAATATTTCTATCAACGCGGTCCCTACTCTAGGAAAGCAGTGTGTCACTGTGTGAGTGAGTGAGTGAGTGGGAGAGAGAGAGTGAGAAAGAGAGTGAGTGAGAAAGAGAGAGTGAGAGAGAGAGTGAGAGAGAGAGAGAGAGAGACAGGAGCATGTTTGGCACAGTAATGAATATCCTGAGTGTCAACAAACCCTATCCTGCTCACCACCAGGTGTAGGGGATGTCTCAAAAGATCACGCCACAACAATTTAACTACTTTTCTTTTAGCTGAAGGAAGAAATTTGAACATTTACATTCATATTAAGTCCATAATTTGAATTATTTTTTTTAACCATTTGTAACTACCTGATAAGTAAAATTTCAAGGGACTCGCCAAAATTGTTTACTTATCAGGTATTTTACTTATCCAAACTTATCAAAACCTGCAAACGACAACCATATGAATGTATATGTATACAGCAGAATAACAGACAACATTTGTAAGTACAGTTGTCAGTGTATTGTCAACTGCTTGACGCCAGCGAGCTGTAAGTAGGATGTTTGTTTAGCTGGAGACTGACACATGCCCCTCATGTCAGATTATGTGGTGATCGCTAATTTAGTTATCCAGTCTCTTTTGTTAAGTAATTTACTTCCAGGGACTGTGAGAAGACGTTTAGTTAAGCGGTATTGTTTACTTATCCAAGTTAAGTTAACCAGACTCTAATAGTGATAATTAATGAAGAAATTTGCCGGGACCAAAGAAAAGTGTTTGTTTAGTTAAGCGGTCTTTACTTAGGCGGTTTCCACTGTACCTGTATCCACATGTTATAGTAGCTAGCTCACTATTATAGTAACTCCTGTCCCAATCACTGGTCACACAGCTTCATAATCCAGTCAACGTGCAGCAAAACAGGAAAGTACTGGTGCATTTATAACGAACATGGTTATAACAAATTCCCTGACATAATGAACTGTCTGTTCCGTCCTGGCCACAGGATGTATATTTGTGTACGGCAAACTATAACTAGTGCTTCATATAAGTTAGTTACAACCATGCTTTACTGTACGTCATCATGCAAGACTCATTTGATGTGTCTGCATCAAGTACTTTATTGAATCAGGACATACACTGTGTATCTCACTTTCTGCTTTTACTTTCCATGTCAGTGAGCGATATTCCCTACAAAGAAGCAAGCAATAGGAAATGAAACTTGATATCAGACCTCTTCCATGGTAAAACTAAAACTCACTCCTTGGCGAAAATTTATGTTGCTTTTGGCATTTCTTAAGAATTCATGTTGGTGTTGCAGTCTGATCTTAATACATCGTTGTGATTGAAGATATAGTATATGTGAAATACTTCCACATTTCCATCGATTGTGATGGTCACACACTGAAAACACTACACTTCAGTCAAGTTTCATTAATTTGCTATAAACTGATTCAAATAGATTTGCCACACACTGACCTATTTATTTGTAGTACTTAATTACAATTAAATATTGTGTGTTTAGGTACTGAAAAAAAACCCTTACAGGGACAATAGCAATAACACAAGTAATTAAGAAGACTCCTAAATTTTTGATTCAAATAAAAGAGTTCATGAATATTTACATATTCTTCTGACACATTAATTAGTCTGATTTTTAACAGAGACATGTCAGATACCTATACTGGCAGGTGGATGTGTCGACAGCAACCTACAGTCACCCAACAAGCTTATTAGACTAATCGTAAATCATT